TATTAGTGAAAATTAAATTTTTGATTAATTAAACTCAAATATTATAATTTAAAAATAAACTATCGAACCCGAAATCCACCCTTAGGCCGGGTATGAGTCAAATTAATCTTTAAGAGTTATGGGGTTTTTAATTCTGAGCCCCTAACCATTACACTTGATAAAGTCTCAACCAAATAGGGGTGCGGGGGGGCAGTAGTAAATTTTAATCTTATTTCGTTTATTGGATTGGAAGTATTGAGATGGTGAGAACCACCTAAGCGAGCTCAGCAACTCTTAATAGACCCGTCTGGTTTTATTATGCTGCATTTTAGTGCTTGTTTACACTCTTCGTCCGTGGTGAAATTCTAGCAAGGGAACAAGATTACGGTCTTCGCTTTATAGACTAATAATGTCTAGAGACTAGAGTATCTTGGAATAACTTGACACATTATGAAATTGATCCATATTCAAATTATGTATAGTAGAAGTGCATCCCATATGGCTAAAAAAATTAAACCAATCTTGTGTACCTTTCATAAGATAAATAACTAAAATTTTCTTACATATTTTCAACCACCTAAGTAATAATAATAGTTTTCATGAGATAAATAACTAAAATTTTCTTACATATTTTCAACCACCTAAGTAATAATAGTTTTTTATAAGTTGAGTGAGTGATTTTAAATTTAAATAGTAGATATACAATTAACGTGTTTAAAAAGATAAAATAAATTATTTTTTTATTATGTAACTAAAAATTTTAAAATGAAAAAACTCCCCTTATATGTTGGTCTTTAAGGCTTAAATTTTGGATTTGCCTACAAAATAAAAGGTGATCGCTAGCTAATCCAATCTTGGGGACATAGGTTATGTCTGAACTCCTCTGTTCCATTTTTATCTTATGATGGTTTTTTCTTTTCTTTATCTTTATTTATCTTAGTTTAATTTTCCCCTTTTGTAGAAAATAGCTTAATTTTCCTTCCCTTTTTTGGGTAGAAATTAGTTTAATTTTCCTTTTGTTGAATGGAAAAATTTTAATAAAATATAAAATTAAGATATTTAAAAAGAAAAAAAATGTATATGAGTCCTGACTTCAAAAGAAATTAATAGAGTTTTAATTTTAAACTATATTATTTTATTTAATTAAGTTTAATTTAAATTTTAAAAATTTATTTTATTAAATATTTTATTTAAATTTAAAACTAATTGAATTTTTAAATTTTGAATAAAAATTTTAATTTTTAAATATAAGTTAAGATTTTAAATTTTTTTTAAAAATAATTAAGGACGGATACATATTAAACTCATTTAAAAATTAAAATTATCAAGATATTTTAATTTTAACCACATAATAAACAAATAGATAAAATTTAAATAAAATTTACATTATATCTTATTTAATTATTATATAGTTTTGATTATGTATCCTCACATTGTCCTTATATTTTGTGTCCTCCAAAATTAATCTTAATATGTTATTTTTTTTCAATTTCTTGTCCAGTATTCGGGACTTCGTCCCGACTAATTTGAATCAACCCGCGTCGCGCACTTAGAAATGGTATGTGAGTTTCTCAACAAAGGCCGCTGCGTACACAAGACTTCAAACTTGAAATCTTACTTAAACTAAAACAAATCATTTACTACTTGATCCAAATCTTACTTAAGCTGAAATAAATTGCTTATTACTTGATGCAACCCTTGTTGATAATCTTAATATGTTATTATTAGTAGTAGAATTGGGCCTTGACTTTGCGTAATCATCAAAAATCTGTTGACAAATACAAGGAGGAGACTATTGATGGGGACGCACGCGTCGGCAGTGCGGTTGGTCTTACGGAATGACGATAGTTTGCCGTGAATAATGACAAAATTCAAAATAAAATACAATAGTTGTAAATGGTCTAAACTAGCCTCCGCCTCGGCCTAGCCACCGACAATTTTTAGTCAAAAGGGCGAGAACAACACGAATGGTTATTTTTGGGAATTCAGTCTCAGAAATGGGTAAGGCCACAGGAGTAGCAATCAATTACGGTGGCCAGCGAGGGATTGAATTCAACGGAAGTAAATGTAATTTTATACGTTAGGTATATAGCATAGAGTAAGTAGCCTCAAGAAATTAATTTTTGTAATTTATTTTTTTATATTAATTTTTTAATATTTAAAAAATATATTAAATCTTTATTAATTTAAAATTAAATCACATCAGATTTTATAAAAAATAAAATATCTTAATATTTATATTTTTTATTTATAAAATTTGAATTTAAAACCAATATTTTTAGGCCCAGCTCAATGATGGACTCATTTTGGTTATTGAATTTGGTTCAACTGATTAAATAGATTCATCCGATTCGTCCACCTAATCAACTAGAAAAACATCTTTTTTTTCTCCATATTTAATAGATTTTATTTTCTTCTGCAACCGTCAACCTCTCCCAACCCCAAAACTTCCATCTCACCATCATCTTTGCTGAACTTCTTTCAGATCTCCTCTCTTTGATTTTTTGACTTATTTTTTTTAAAAAAAATTTCCTTGATTTTTCCTCTAAGCTTCCTTCCCTGGTCTCGATTCTCTTTGAAGTTTCAATTTTGAGATCTACTTCAACCCCAGCATTCATCATCGTCATCACCGAACAGCCACAAAAGCTTAACTGGAAGGGAGGAACCAAAAAAAATTTAGAGGAAGAAGGATAGAGGTTCACAACAGAGTTTCTCATCGCTGGATCGGCTTAGCGGAACAGTGTTGATCGACTTTTGCTATGAAGAGCAATTAAT